GCGCCAGACGCTCTCCTTTCGCAGCTCAGCTGGATTATCTCATCGCCTCGCGCCCTTAGGGGCGGGCCGGGGTCTGCCCCCTCCGAGGATGCGGAGGGCGGATCGGCGGGGCCCCCGCCGCGGCCGCAGTCCCCTTCTGGGCGCCTCCGGGGCGCACGGCCCGAGTCACTTTTTTCTTTGCGCCTCGGTCTCTTCCCGGGCTGCAGGATTTCGCTCCTGGCCCGTCCTTTCCCTCCCCGTTGGTCGGGCTCTTCCGGAGCCCACCCCCAGCGGCGGCGGCGACGACGGCGGCCTCTGGATTCCGAGAGGCGCGGGGCACCTTTTTACCCCCTGCTCTGGTTTTATCTGTTTCTTCTCTCTTTCCTTCCCCGGCGTTCCACCGTATCCCCCCCTCCCGCCCGGGTGTCATTCCTCACCGCTGAGTGACAGCCTCGCGCCACGCCCCTTCACTGGGCCGTCCCGGGCCCTCCCGGCCGCCTATTGGCTGGCTCCAGCTGGGCGACGTTGACTTTAACAGACAAAACTGGGCACGTTGCGCCGAGAAACTCAGGGTCTGACTTAACCCCTTTCCTCCCAAGCCCCGGTCCTCGAAGCATCCTCCGGCGACTGGGAGGCTCACCCACCCACACACTCTGTCCGAGAAACCACGTGTCTTACCGCTGCGGAAGGATCCGCCTATTCCAGCGCTCTATGGAACACGATATTTAATAGTCGAGATCTGGCGGTGGGAGTGTGGGGAGGGGGGAAATCCAAAATAACGCAGTTCGGTAAATCGCGCGCGCAGTTTTCCGTTCTCTAGGAAGGTCCAAAGAGAAGAACAGAATGCTGCTGCTTTTTTTAAAAAAAACCTCTATGTTACAGTTTCGTGGCTTCCTCATTGCTAATTCTTTCCGCTGAAATTATCAGTTAATTAAAATCATTAGAAATATTGTTTTTCCTTCTTCACCTTACTTTATTTGATTCGATTACTGTAGAGCAATCAAAAAAAAAAAAGGTGGTTCAGTTAGAGGACTAAAGTCAGGCGAGAAACGAGAAGGCATCTTTGGGAGAGTGTCTGGAAATCGCGCGGTCATTTCCCTGGACGGTTAATACTGAACCTAATTGGAGCTTGTTACATTTTGCACCAGGATGGAGGAGAAAAAAAAAATCTTTCCATTTGTTCTTTACATATTCTTTTACTTGTGAGTTGAATGAGATTAGAAAAGAAAAGATATGTGTTTGCTTAGAGGACTGTATAGATATTACTGTGGCAATGATCTTGACTTGACGACATGAAATTCTCTTAAAAAAGTAAGTCCTGGACTGTTTTACATAACAGAAGGAACCAAGCTAAGAAACACAAATGTTGTGGCATGAAAACATTTGTTACTTATTTACGTTATTTATTTTTAAATAAAAAAATTTGCTCAAGTGACATGTTACTGTCTTCCATAATTTTACCGAAGGTGTAACAACGCCAGAGACACAATTTGAACCACTGAGTATGTTTAAAGAACCGTGATTTTGGTTTAGTAAATGCTGGGATTGGTGTTGTTGGTGTCACTAAAATAAATAACATTTCCCCCTGTTTTTGCTGTTTCTTGTGCACGGCAGTGTGAAATACATGCACTATTCATAATTTTCGGGCTCAGGGTGTACGTTTGGGAGGGCTTTGCCGTGTCTACATTTTTCCAGCACTTTAGCTACATGATGCTTTGTTGCATCCCACACACGGCGGTGCAGATCCGTTAGTGTACTTGGGTGAAAAATTCGCACTTGAAGAGATCATTGCCCTTTACAGCTCTTTAGGATTACATCACTTTTAAGGGAAAGGTGCTTGAATTTGGTGTTAGCATCTGGCCAGTGTAAGGAACGGACTCTCTTCAGGCCGGGAGGGGAACAGAACACAATGCTCGTGAGGTTTCAAAAGAAAGCGTGTCCTTTCCTCCCTCCCGCTGACCTTTATTTACTCTGTAAATGACCTCCCTCCCCCACCGTCCTGTTATTCTCTGGGGAGCGCATCCAGGAGGAGATTGACACAGGTCGCCCAGAAGGTGAGAGATGAGCAGGTGTGAACTGTGCTCCCAGAACAGCTATGCGTTTGTGGGGTCAGGACTTGGCGTGGACAAACAATAGAGTTCCGCACCCACAGGCAACCGGGATGTTTTGGAGGTCGAATGACCTAGTATCAGGGTAAGTTTGGGGGGCTGCACCAAGACTCACTTGAAAATAGTAACTACTATTTCCTTGCCCCTCACACGTATTTATTTATTTATTTATTTATTTATTTATTTAAAGAAACCCAAATCAGAGCAGGATCTGCCCTTTGCCAGTCTACGGCAGAGGCTGACAAGGCGTTAAAGAGGCAGTTCGGTGATTTTGAGCTGTCCGTTTTTCGTGCGTGCCGGAGCGCAGGAAAGTGGCCGCATTCCGAGACTTCAGCAGGCGAAAGCGACAGAGACTCGTGTCATCTCCGGGCAACTGCGGCGGCTGAGGACCTGTAGGTCTGGTGAGTGGCTGCAGGCTGGGCCGGGAGGTGGGTAAAAGTACACCGGTCTCGAGCTACAACTAGAAGCTGCTCCTGGTAAGGCGTTGGCAGGCGGGTGAAAAGGCTTTGGGGGACGGTGAGCAGACGTAGTAGTAGGCAGAGGTTGCCCGGGATACGTGCAGAGTCCAGGCCGGTGAGTGGGGGCGTGTGGCCAAGGCTCCGCAGGTCAGCGCGCGTAAGGGCCGCGGGTCGGCGGGGAAGGGGCGCGTCCGCGCGGGCGCAGGGCCCCGCTTCCGGAGCTCGGAGGGCGGTGGGCCCCGGGCGCGGCCGCGAGCTCCTGGAACCCCGCGGCTGCCTGACCGCGCCTGACCTTCCGTCGGCGCCGCGCTCTGGCCTGGGCCGGCCCCGCGGATCGGCGGAGCCGGGAGCCCCGGCAGCCGGCCAGCCTTCGAGGAGGCGGCCGGGGAGCTCCGCGCCCGAGCCTTCCTCCCCGGCCCCTCGCCCGGCTCTCTCCTAGTCCTCCCCTCCTTTTTCCCCCCCTCCCACCCCGCTCTCCGCTCCCTCCTCCGCAGTTCGGTTCTTGCGCGCCCCCTGCCCAGCTGCGCCCTCCCGCCCCGGGCACTGCACTGCCCCGCAGCGCTGCTGGGCGGCGAAGCCTGCGCGGGCCGCGGGCGCAGGGTGGGAGGGGGGTGCGGGAGACGTGGGGGCCGGGGAGGGGGGACCCGGCTCTCCCGCGCGCACCGAAAGCTGACGCGCACGTCCCGGCGCTCCCCCGGACCTGAGTCCGCCGGCATTTTCCCGCGGGGCCACCGGGGGCGCGCCCCTGCCGCCCTCCACCTGCGCCCTTGGCCGGCCTCGGTTTCCGGGGGAAGAGACCTACTTCTGTGCCCGGAGTGGCCCGAGGGAGTGGGAGGCCACGCGGGACTCGGCCCTCAGACGCCGATGACCTTGACTGAAGTCACCTGCTTTCTCTAGGCCAAGGTTTCCAATCCTTTACAACGAGGGCTTGTCTCGGTGCCCTACGAGGCCGCTGCGGAACGGCGCGAACTGGCGAGCAGGCGGGAGGGGGGAAGCGCGCAGGCCCGCGGAGCCAGGTCTAGGTAGAGGCTGCGCCGGGGACTGACCGCCTGTCTCCACCCGCACTTGTCCACCTCCACCTCCCCCAGGCTTCTGAGGGCACTTGAAGCACCCGCAACACCCCAAGCCCCAAGCTCCGTGCCGCTTTCCTGCCAGCGGACCTCAGCTCCTGGCCTCCCGTGTCAGGGCTTTTCACAAATGTGGTCCGGGTGTATCAGTCTGAAGACAGCAGCTTTACTGTGGACCAAGGGAGTTTTACATTTATTTTTTTAAAATTTTTTTCAACGTTTTTATTTATTTATGGGACAGACAGAGACAGAGCATGAACGGGGGAGGGGCAGAGAGAGAGGGAGACACAGAATCGGAAACAGGCTCCAGGCTCTGAGCCATCAGCCCAGAGCCCGACGCGGGGCTCGAACTCACGGACGTGAGATCGTGACCTGGCTGAAGTCGGACGCTTAACCGACTGCGCCACCCAGGCGCCCCTACATTTAAACAAGTGTTGTTTACCAACGTGGACCAGCAGTCATGGCCTATTGTGTTATTTAACCTACACAAGCCTGGGCGTGTGGTTAGTAGAAAACATTGTTATCCCCATTTTATAGGTTAGTAAACTGAGACGGGGTTTAAAAGTGGCGAAATCAGGATTCAGTTCTGACTTTGTCAAAAGCCAATCTGGTTGGGTTTTCTACCCTAACCGTTGTCTTCTCAAACCTTCACATTTATTCTCATTAAACGTTTTCCATGGCCTTCCCTACGTATTTCTGTGCTACTCATTCATCAGAAAAGGAGCTCAGAACTTAAGGAAATCACAGAAAGAATCCAGGCAGGCAAGTCTAACGATTTTTTCTGTCCCGGGCATTTGGAAATAAAGGACGCTAAGGCCTGCACATCTGAACCTAAACCTTGTTGTATACAAAGAAAGAAACACAGCATTATCATTATAATCAACAAACTAAACCGTGCGTAGAGGGAGACAGCCAGGTGATGGAAGTTGGTTGGGTTCAGAAATAGGGGACCTGTGTTTGCTCGCGGCTCTGGGATGCAGTG